GATATCAAAAAAGTACTCCAGAGTGTTGTTCAGCATGGGGGTGAGTAGAAAATGAAGGCTAATCATGTTTTGGGTGTACTATTCCTTTAAGCTCTATTTTCTTATTCAGGCTTTTTAATAAGAATTTTCTTCATGAGATGGTTGAGATTTATATATATATATATATTGTATGTAATGTTTTTATAAATGTGCTTCTGTCCAGGCTTGTTACTTTGAAGCATCATAATTGATTTGTCTTCATTACTTATCTAACAAAGTTGTTTCTTACACTAATAATTTTAGATTTGTACGTAACAGATAGAGAATAAATCAATAAATCTGGACATGAACCTGAAGGAGATCACTAACTTATGGAACCTGGATCCCTGGGTTCTCTTCCTACAGAACTGTATGCTTCAAACCAAGAAAAAAATGTAAAATAGAATTCAAAATCCACTTAATTTGGTTTAAAGAGCCATTCTAAGGAAGGTTTTTGTGTAGGAGGAAAAGTGCTCTGTTTGATCATTGGTAGGGTTCTCTATTAAGATATTTTTCACTAAATATTTCCTAGGCTCTCTGATGGCCCTTGAGGTTTGTTTGCAGTTTTTGTTTCTTTTTTTTCATCAGTTTCTGCTTATTTTTAATATTTTTTTTGTAACTCATTCAACTCTTATTTCTAAAGGACTGTTTAAAATGTGGTTTTTGTGCACTTTAGCAGAAGCATGTCACTAGCACACATTTACACTTTGTTCTGAATAGAAACAAAATCTTTTCTCTCAGATGACACACAGCTTAGTGCTAAAATAACTAATTGATAACATTGAGCAAAATGTATGGAAAATATGGTCCCTTTTCTATTATCCAGAGCAGTTTTCTGGGCTGTATTAGTGTTTCCACTGCAGTAATCAGCCCAGTTTATTCTAGTGTAAATCTACCTCACAAAATAGCTGCATTATAGTCGGAAGGAAACAAAAAAAGAAAAACACTGATTTAAAGTGATTTTGATTTTACTGTTTGATTTTACTGGATTAAAAACATTGCTTAAAAAGACATGCTGCTAGTTCTTAGTATGTATGTGGACAGCTGACATCCTAAGCAGTGAGGCGTTCAGCTTCGGCAGACACTACGGACAGACTAACAGTAGAGTTTAATCTCAGGGCTGTTTTGGAAGCACGAACTATAACATAATGACAAATCTTCATTATTTCATCACTGTCAGTGTTGCTTATGTTAAGATACTGATTTACTATTTAAACTTCCCTACTGCAATGCTAAATACCCTTAAAAACCATTTTAAATGTCAGGGGTCACTTTTCTCCAGCTGCTCTATTGTGTTTACTAATGTTTCAGGTGTTGTCCCCCATCCTCAGTGATATGCTATTTGTTTGTTAATGTTCCCTCCGGCTCTGCTTAATGAGAGCAATGGCTGTCATTATAATGAGCCTCACTAAAATCACCTCTTAAGCTAATAATACAAACTAAGGGCCCTCGCAGCTCCTGAGGGCTACCGCCATGAGCTGGCTGGTGGGTTTTCTACAACCCAGAGCTCAATCTGTGGCAGACTCCATCTTCAGAGGGACGCTTGTCAATAGTTTGTTAATGGTGATGAGTTGTATAAGAAATGTGTCCTCGCCACTGTGAGCTGAAGGGAAATATGCTAATTAAAAGCCCTGCGTGCTGGCAAACTGGAATCTTGAAAGACAGTCTCATTACAGGCTAAAAGACAAATCAATTTTAGGGTTTGGGTTTCTCTGAAGATTAGCACAGACTGTGGGATGATTTGTCACGTTGAGAATATTTCTTTACGACCTCAATCCTCTTTCATTGGTGCAGTGTCCCCGCCGTCCCCAAGCTGTCGGCGCACATTACTCCTGCGACTTGACTGCAGGTCATCCGAGAGATTAACCTTCTTATTATTACGGTCTAAACAAACTTTTTTCATCAGTTTTTATCATATTTTACTGCTGCTATTGACAGTTTCGTGTTTGATTTATCTGATGTTGTGTTCGCTCTGATCAAACGAGCCTTTCATTCACTTCTAGGATTTGATTCCATTGAAATGAAAGGCTTCAGTCTGAAAAATTGAATCATGCGGATTTTTTCTTTCTTCCTTTGAGGTGAACCTTTGATTACATGCAGTATCAGGGCATAATGGATATAGCATGTTTTAATACAACTTAAAGTTACCATAAGAACACAACTGAATTAATAACCATTAAAAAAAGGAATCTGTATGTATTTGGACCATTAAAAAAAGGAGTCTTTTACATCTGTATGTATTTGGACCATAGGAAGGCGTAAATACGTGAGAAAAAAACAAACAGAAGCTATCGATTCTATCTACTCATCACGGGAGGCACATTTAAGAATGCCTTTTCCAATCTATAGCCATCACTCTACAGTAAGAAAGATCGTTTAGATGTTAAACATATTTTGGACAGCTCCTAATCTTAAGAGGAAGAACAATTCGCTCAAAAGTCGGTCTCTGTGATGCTTAGCTTAAAAAACCGTGATTAATTTCATCCACTATTTTTTTTTTTCTTGTCTTAAGGTATGTTTGCATGGACGTAAGTATTTGGAATAAAGAAGCGCGATGTAATCACGCCAATCAGAATATTATGATGGGATTCAGATCATTTGGAAGTTGTTTTGGGGAACTATGACAACCCTATGTCAGAGGGATCTGTGCTAAATAAAGACTGGTGCAACTAAAAGCACTTCATAGTTGATTATTTGGGTTTAAGCTCATATAAAGAGTGTATTTGGATTCTATCTTTTAAGTTGATCAAGGAATTTACCTGCATGGAAACATAGCTTCAGTTTGCATGGGAACTGTTAAGGTTAAGGACTGTACAATGGGACCAAACTAAAGATATTTCGCCATAATGCGTCGTAGCTAAAAACAGCACATTAACACAAACGCCTTATATCATCTGTCAAGCAAAGGGGCGGAGGGGTGATGATTGGGGTTTATGTTACACCCACAGGTTCTGAACCAAACTGGATCATCAACAGAAATAAGGACCCATTCCAGCTATGATTCTGCAGCAGAATGACTGAGGAGAAAAAGGTGTGGGTCCAAAGACCCAGAGGTCTGTGGCCTCATGTGCAGCAGCAGGGAGAATTTTCAAATGCATGTCTTTCCTCTCTACATCCCAGTTTGCATAAAATCAAACACAGCTGGAGAAACTGCTTGAAACACGCCTAGATATTAATATGTAAAGTACTATAAATAGCCGAAGGGCCTCCACTGCTGTGGCGTCAATGATAGACAATCACAGAAAGACACTGGATGTGTCAACACACCTCAGAAAGATTTATTAGGAACAAAGAAACCACACAATCGAGCAAAGTACAATACAATTAATATTTTCAACTATTCGACACCCCCACCCAAAGAAAAAGAAAAGATAAATTGAGAAAAATACATAGGCAAGCCTTCATGGTTGTGTCTCTATGCGACTATTGTTTAGAATGGTTGAAATTACCATATTAAAAAAGCTATGAAGGAATCCCAATTAGACAAATATGAGCAAAGCTTAGCAATTGACATACTTTCCATTTCATAAAAGCAGAGGCAACATTTATAGATCTGCTCCCATAATAATATTAGTGCATTTATGGCTCTGAGTCTATTTAGGAAATGGTTCTTCCAATTAAATAGGGATTTGATGTGTTTCTATTTTAACACATTTGAGGAAATTTTATATATATCCAGTAGTCATAAAGAGTAGTATACGGCTGTTATGGGGGCGGCTCAGAGGGACGGTTAAATGCACAAGTTCTTAACTGGAGTGTTCTAAAATAAACCCTGTTACACCGAGGGGTAGTTAGATTTCGTTTGTTTTTTGGGCGATTAGTGCCCCTATTTGAGCTGGACGATCCAAACTAGCTAATGAGCCGTCCGTTCTTTCATCCATCCATCCATCCTTCCTTCCTTACTTCCTTCCATTTTTCCTTCCATCCATCCATCCATCCATCCATCCATCCATCCATCCATCCATCATCATGTATCAAAAGCTAGCAGGAACTGTGAACTGCCCCGCCCCGCATTCTTCCACTGAATGCATATTTACACAACCTAAACAGGTTTTTCAGTTTGTTACTGTGCTGTATAAAGAAAAGCTCAAACTCATCTAAAAACATCAGATCCATTCTCCTTCAGTCTGAATAAACTGAATAGGTTCATGTTTATTTTGATTGGTTAGGTTTTAGTGCTTTGTGATTGTGGATTTAAAAAGTTTGCAGACTGCTTCAATTTCTCACTCTAGCTGCTCACTGCTGCACACATTTGCACAAAATCAATTTTAATACATCCTGACTTTTGAGTTAAACATTGCACTGCATGTTTTTTTGGACGCAGAAGCTTTTTACATGAGCCACCAGATCTCTACTTTATTAAAATGCTGTTGTGGAACCAAGATAGAAATGAAGACTACAAACCAGCTGCAAAATTAAACACATTTTCTCTTAAAAAGAAAAAGTAAAAATCCCTCCACAGCAATGTGAGTGACTGATATAATAAGTCCAAAAACACACAGTTATGGTGCCTCAGCAGCATAAGTTACATTTCAATGTTCTCAGTAAATATTTTTTGTGCCTTTTGAGGGAAACTAGAATTGATGAAGGGTGTAATTAGGGTTACTTTATCGTGAGCATTTTTATTCTTATCCCTTTTACCCAAAGATATAATCTACAATATACTTTAACTCTGAGGAAAGCAGCTTTCTGAGCCTCTGAGGAGCTCTCTCATAAAGCTGAATGTGCTGTTGTGGTTCAGGGTGACCACGTCTAACAGCTCCCTGTTTGTCCATCAGAATATACGCGTCTGCCCTTATCCTGCAAAAGGGAGAACAGCGGTGACTCATCGTAAGCACCGTAGCCACATGCTGCAAACCGGTTCAATATGGACAGATCTGAAATCATGCTGCTACAAAAAAATGGTTTATGGTTGGATCCTGGCTAAAATTTAAGGACACAAACATTTGTAAAAAATCTAACTTGCCAAGCATTTCAGTCATCTTAGCTTGACTTATAAATAAGGAGCATGAAGCTACAGCTAACAATGTATGGGCTACTAGTTGATCAAGTCTAGAATAAAACATCAAGTCATTAGTGATCATTACTCTAACATACAGTCATTCAGAGTAGATCAGAACTAAGAGTTGAAGCAACAGTTAAAATGGTTAAATAAAAGCTGTTTTGGTTCATCACTTCATTTTAATTAATTAAAACGTAACAAAATAAAGATGCTGCTCCCTTCTTCAATCTGTCACTAATTAAGATGAAAGCAGAGGTGAACATTATTTGGTTGTTTGGGGGTTAAAATATAACCTTAATCTTAGACAAAACAAGATCCAAAACATAAAGTCCCTATTCTATTTTTATGTATTCTAACGTTCTTTAGTATTTTAAGCAATTATCTGACTTTCCCTTATTTAGTAACTAGAGACACCATTAGGGATTACGTGGCCATTTTTCTTTTCCCTTATTGGTAAACTTGTGACTTTGTGACACCGATTTTGGGCAAAAGAAATCCCTCTACAAGAGGAATTTAAACCGTCAATTTAAGCTGTCAATGCTTAAAACTCAAAATAACAAAGCAGAGTAACTTTGCTTAAGCTTTCACTGTTCCTCCTAGCTTGTCCTCTCTCCTGCTCTTACAGTATATTTTGTCACGTTCACTGGGAATAGTTCTATTTCTTACATTTATCTTTGAAAATTGCCACTGATACTGTTTAGAGCTACACTGTCTTCCCTTCCTCATTGCATTTGGACTAAAAAGGGTTGTCAGCCTTGATATGGTGCGTTCACTGACTGGAAAAGGTGTCGGATTAATACATTTCTGGCCAGCTAGCCACCAGTCAGAGCACATGGATCAGGTATTCTGATGTGGATATATTTTCTGCTCACTGACCAATTGGATTATTTGTTGGTTGAATTAATTAGAATGCATCCATTCTGGAAATCAGTTTAAAAACTGTTGCATCATTATCATATTACTCATTTGTCCCAGTTGTGACTCAGATTAGTTATTGTCTCCATATGGAGCTAAGTGATTCAGCCTCGCTTGTTTGTTCAAAATCCACTATTTTTCTGAACTGTACTTTTCTAGTAAGCAATGCTTGAATGTGGGAGTCCATTCATGTGTGCTTCTTCATGTGTTGTAGCTGGAGATGTCGAAGCCTGGTGATGGATGCAGTGAGGACAGCGACAATCAGACCGCTGTAAGTGGAAAACTTTAAGAACTCTTCTTACCCCGTAGGATTTTAACATGATTTTATGTTTGCCATCTCTCTACTTATCTCCTGTTTCTTTAACTTCCTCCACTGACATAACAGATAATTTGAGCCTAAAGTGGTTTAACTTGGTGTAACTACACTTGTCATTGAATTAATCACCCAGAGACATCCAAGATTGGAAATAAAGGAGCCATAAACACTAAAATACCTCGCACATGTGTCTGCACTCCCACACACCGGTGTCTCCTAACAGTGTGTGATGAATAGATTAAAAACTAAACAGGGCCACCAGGCATCCCACAGCATAAGTGGAAACATTACACACACTAATATGTTGGACAATAAACAGATATTAACTCCTCTGCCTTTTCTGCGCCATCTGTCAGAGATCTTGAGCAAACTGTTTAATCATTTACCTTTCAATTCTCTTCGCTGTGCCGCTGTTTGCATTCTTAAAGCTTATCTTTAAGTAGTTTGACATCTTTCACTCAGCTAGAAATATACAGTAGCTGATGTCTGATGATCCTCCTAAACTCCATTTGAATCTTCATTGTTTTTTAGGATAAATCTGTTGATCTGGTGTAATTTTCTGGCGTATTCTTCTCATATATACAGTCAGAGGTTTACATACATTCATTAGTGGCATGAAAATATTATTATGCAAAACAGACCGCTACAGAAGGTGATTCCTGCCCACAGCTATCAACATCTGTTATTTTAAAACATTAAAGGTATAGTGGAGGATGTTCTTGTTCCATGTGGAGCATCTAAATAAGTGTTCCTCCTAACTGTCAATCAATCTAATGATATGTTTACAAAAGGCCATCCTATGTGCTCGCCCCCATTTTTACTTACCGGTGGGGAGTCTGACGTAGTGGAAAAATTAAAAATCTTTTGAGAAGTAAGCTTTTATGAACGATGCAAAAAGCAACTTTTAAACAGAGCGTGCACGAGGAGAAATGTACTTGTGCACGCTCTCCCACGCATTTAGTAGGTGTTCCCTCTCACGAGCGGGTACAGGGTTGTGTATGTGGAGAGGGCTGTCTTTTAAAAAATTTGCGAAAATCCTCCACTATACTTCTAATAAAGCCTTTGAGCAATGTCATATTTTCACTCTGTCATTTTTGCGTGTGTAATAAGTGAAACTTGATTCATCCAACATAATTTAGGATGAATGTTTGTAAGCAAGTTGTTTGAAAGTCACATTTGTTGTCACCCTGAGGAAGATCCTACCATAATTCTTAATCTTTCTTTATCCCTTTGGCTACATTAGTAGCCATTAGTAATAAAAGGGCTTATTGATTGGTTCGATGACTCTGCTTTTAAGTTGGATCCATAAATGTTCTATATATTTTTTATCAGGGTCAGTACAGGTGTTTATTCAACTCTAAAGCCAGTTTTAATGCTGGTTTGGGGTTTTTGTTTAAAGCACTAAATATAAACTGTGCAGCTTTTCATTTGATGTTACCTTCAGAATGATGCTACCTCGACTTCACTTCACAGTCATCAGTACCATCAGCTCATTTGTGCAGCTTTATGAAAAAAGAAAATATTTTTTTTCTTCCTAATAATAAAAACAAACCAAAGTTGAATTTGTAAAAAATATTAATTGCGACTTTTTTGAGGCTCAGCTGTACTCCCACTGTCCCCGACATGGGATCCTCCTACTGTGGGCAGCTAATATTTTTCGCTTTAGATCAGTTAATAATTGTATTAATTTGGGGTTTTATATTTGCATTTTGTTGCACCTTTATAGTATATAGTACATAATGTAAAGAATGACGCAACTAAAATAGAGGTAAACACGGTGTAGTCATACTGGTCTGAACATGATGTCAGACAAGCAATATAATGGAGAAAATGCATCTGATTCTCTTTAAAAAAGCAATGAATGTTTTTTTCTAAGATGTAATTCAGCATTATTTGATAGTTTGAGGAAAAGCACCTCAGACATGTGCAAATGGATGGTATGGATGGTGCTTCCTATACAGATGGGTTAGTGACAGGCATTTAGTGTGTGTGGCATACGGTTAGATTTAAGTCCATCTTTAAGGCGACGTTTTAAGTTTGTGACAGGGTTGAAACCCAGCTGGTGATGGAAAGTTTTTGATGGTGTAAGAGAATATATACTTATAGTTGGGTGGTATAAAAGAATAAAGATCCAAAACTTCTAGTTTGGGGCTGATGTTTTTAAAATTGAGCTCTAATTTTTCACCACTCAACTAGGAGGAGGAGAGCAGTTCCTTCAGGGCAACAAATTCAAATTTCCTGTTTGTCAAATAAGCACAGTAACACATGGAGCTGTCAGAATGACCATTCAGGCGTCTTTTATTTAGATGGAACTGGAGTTTCTGCTGGAACAGGTGTTTGTATTATTAATCCAAAATCATGTCAGTTTTGAGCCTAAATCTTCAAGTTTCTGCTAAAATGATGAAAGTAAAGACGTGTCTCAGTTTTCAGCATCAGTGTGAGTCCAGTTAAGCAAATAATCATCTAAATATTTGTTTCTTCTGAGGAAAATCTATTATTTTGAATTAGCCAAACAAAATTCCAGAACTTTGGCACAATATTTGTAAGTTCACAAAACATTTTAAAAAATTTTAACTCATAGATTTGGAGAACCTTTACAAGGCTGTTAAATAGAGATGATGGATGCTGCCAGATTTCTAACAATCAAGATTGAATATAAGTGAATCACAGTGCTCCAAATATGAATTAGTTACAAGGTGTTCACATTTATGCAACTACATTATTGCAGCAAGTTTAGATTTTTATTTATTTTATTTTTGTGGTTTACTATATGTGGAAAAAAATGTTTTGAAATAATTTATGATGGTCTTATTTTTAAAGAACATAAAGCACTCCAGAGATTTCCTGTATGTGTGGGTTTGACCACTTTGATATGTGTATCAGAAACGCAATAAATTCAAGCTTGTCCACCTACTTAAAAAAAAAGATTCCTAAATAAATATTGAATACATTCATAGTCTATCTGACATACATAATAAGTAAATGTAGACTTGAATGTAGTTCTTTATGATTCTTTAGCCCTAATGTTAACGCCGGTGGCTAATGGCTGATGTATATGTTTGCAGGATGCCACACTTTCCTGCAGCCAGGAGAAGAGAGGTCCCACAGAGAAGAACTCAACAAGCCCCATTCACTCAGAGAGGGAAGCCTTGCTTGTTGGTAAGCTGAAGTCCTTTACACTGTTGGCTCTTTTTCACACTGACCTTATTTTCAATAGTCAGTTTATTGGCTCATTCAGTCTGCAAAACAAATTCTTTAATGCAGGTGTCTTTTTATTTTGATCAAACAACTAACATTCAAATATATCATGCATTGTATGGTGTTTATATTTTCCTCTTTTTAAAATCCAGGGCATTCTAGAGATGGTTTACCTTAAATCTGCTCCATTCTTTCATTGCTCTGGAGCTAAAGTGCAATGGAGCAGATCAAAGCGTCCTGTGTTAAAATTGGGCAGCCTGATGGGATCAAAACACAGGGAGTGACAAAAATGACAGTCATCATCAGCGGGCTGATGCCCTACACATCACCAATCATGCTTTCAGGTCTCTTATCTCCATGAAATTTGATTGATTGCGAAGTTTGACAGATTTTGACGTTTTCAAAGCAATCTAAGACGGAACATTTTGTTCTGAAAGTGACTAAAATCATCTAATATAGGCAAGTTGTGCTCATCTAAAATGATCTTTTGCTCCATGCTGAAGGTTTTTTTTCAGACTGCAGTTTATAGCGAGCTCTCCTCTATTTAACCAATCAATTAAACCCTTGCTGTTTGGCTTTAGAGCAGCGCGGCAGCAACAAAAGTGATACATGTTTTAACTTTATGTCGCATTTCAAGCACAGTTTAAACATCTACCTGAACAAGCTACCAATTTCACACTGAATTTGCAAAACTGGCAATGAACCCTAAAAAAACTTGCAGCTGTAATTACAACAAAGGCTGGTTTTGCAAAGCCTTGACTCTGGAGCTGTGTACATCTGCACTGCTGGATATGTTTTCATTTTGAAAAGTTGAAATGTTATGCATCATTTTCCTTTAGTTTAGTGCTGGTCTAGCTCATAATTTCCAAATAAAGAGGTGTGACAATCCTTTGGCAGAGGACTTTATCCTGTGATGTTTCTAAACCCTTGTAGCTCAGTTTAACTCTGACATACAGAACCGACTGTGACACATTAGACAGATGCTTGCCTTCCTAATTATGGTCATTAAATTAATTGAGTCATACTCAAATCAAGGACAAGTAAAACGAACAGCCACTGTCTACAATGATACACCACTAAATAAGATATTTACATGTATTATTTTTCCTAAGCAATTTGTTATGCCATATGGAGCTATGAGGGGATAATAAAAGGTAAAAAAAAAAAAAAAAAAGCAGAGGGAGGAAAAATATCTATGTCTGTCAGAAAACATGCATTATCACTATTTTATATTCCAGTACACAAGTGTTGAAGTTTAGTATTTGGAGTAATTCTAGTCTTTGCTGCAGGCTATGTTGTATTTACACAGTTTATGTTTAGTTGACAGAATGCCTGCTGTCAGAGACTAAGCTGCAGATGCTGCTTTATGGTTGAGTAGAGTTACCAGACTGAAGATGCTGCAGCACAAAAAAAGAACGAACACATGCCGTTTCTGTTAATTTCTTGAAGATAGCAACAATCATTCATATTTTAATCTATCAATTTAAACAAAAGATAAGCCCACTGTGCAGCTGAGGCATGCTGGTAATCTACAGAAAGCATGCATTCAAACTTAGGGTCTGTTTAGAGTTACAGAGCATCTTTATTGATGTTTCTATGATATGCATGCAGATAGATTTAGGTTCTATCAGAGTGCCCCGTTACGCTCCAGTTCATCTGAACATCTCCAGTGCGTTGTTTGTGTTCGAGTACTGATTAACGTCCTGCAGGTGACTAAAATAAAGTCTTGGTGAAGCATTTTCCCTTTCTAAAAGCTCCAAATGAGAGTTTTGTTTTTTGCTCAGGCAGAGGCTGTGTGGATCTAAGGAGTGTTGCAGCTCCATCAGTGGTTAGTGAGCGTAGACGGAGGACTTGCTCTCCTCTGGTCTTCCTCTGCGAGCTGATGGCAGATGGTTTGTTTGTGCTTGGGGAGCGTGCGGCTTTGATCAGAGACAACAGCATCAAAGGCATCATTAAACTCTCTTTCTAATCTGGAGCGACAACATACAAGAGGCTTTTAACAGTAATGGGACTCTGGGAAGAAGTCGCTTAAAGCCGGTCCTCCTCCGGCGCAGGGTTGGAAAGCTGCTGCTGTGAACGTCCTCTGGTGATTTGTCAATGTTTAATGGTTGAACGAAGCTGGAAGTTAACATCTTTGCATGACTAATAATTATTTTTCTTACCTCAGGGATCATCTCAACCTTCCTGCACGTCCACCCGTTTGGAGCCAGCATCGAGTACATCTGTTCCTACCTCCAGCGTTTGGACACCAAGGTAATGTTCTCGCATGAATCAAAGTTGCACAGAGGAGCACTGGAACCGTGCTGCCCTTTGGTATAAATCTAGATTACATGCATTCATATAGACAGTGTGGCGGGCCGCCCTGCTGGGCTGACATATGGGCTTATATATTCACTCAAACTTAATGCGAGCGGACCTCCCTAATGCTTTTTGCAGGCTGTTCCATAGAGGTGGATGGATTCTCCAGATGTTCGCTGAAACAAAACCACTTTAAAGGACAGTTTGACATCCTCATAGATACTCGCTCGCCCTCCTGCTGGGAGACAAATGAGAAGATTGACAGCTCTCATTTTTTAGCTTCTTCAGTACAGTTGCGAGAAAAAAATAGGACATCTCTCTGGAAATGTTGTTTTTTATTAAGAAATATTAAACTGTTGATGCGCGGCTTCATGTTTTTGGAAAAGAAAGGTGTTTACTGACATTTAAATAACTAAAAATTAACCTTGTCACTTCAAGTAATCATATAACCTGTTTGTATAATATGTTTTCACATCGGGTTTTATTATTCCTATAATCCTGGATCTATTTACAGCACTGTGAAAGTACAAATGTTTGCATTTCTCTTGGCCTCTTAAAGGTCATTCACAGTTTCTCTTTCAACCAGTAGCTAAACTTTTATTTTCTCAAATGGTGCCACCTGTGCCTTTTTTTTTTTCCAGATAAATTGGTTTGCAGTAAGCGAGTGAAGTCATGAAAGATTTTTTTAAGTTTCTCTCTAACAGTTAAGTCATTTGAGAATCCAACAGCTGCCTGTTTTATTTAATGGCACAGAGTGAAGCCAAAGTTACCTTGCTCTTAAAAAGCTCTCCTAAAACACGTTCCCACTTTTTGATCTTATAAACATCACAGATAACACAGTTTGACAGTCAGGAAATAGGTCTTCATATCTATGCTGCTGGAATATTATTAGCTGAGAACTTGTCAGTTCAGTTGATGATCAAGTGAAGCATCTCTCAGCTTCTTTCAGGTCTTTGCAATATTTCCCTCCTATTTCTAACAGTCATGCTTCTCAGGTTCTGTTTGGGTCTGAAACCTTCATTTTGTCCTTCTTGAGCTAACCTTTCACTGATTTTATGTTATTTTTTGGTTTGTGTTACACATTGCATTTTTATAATGAAGAAAAGGAAAGAGGTAGAAGTCAGAGAAAAGCAGGTGCAACTCAATAAATTAGAATAATCAAAAGGTTTAATATTTATGCTAAAGTAAAAAAATATGTATTTTCTACATTTTTCTATACAGTGATAAATTTGCAACATGTGTACTTGTTCAATTCGATGTTTTTGTCCCACAGTTTTTAAGAAAGTTTGGAAATGATAGTTTATTCTCATTAGAATCATTAAACCTTTATTGCACATTCAATTTATTATAATGAATTTTTGTTTTCTTTTTTTGTTTTTAGTTTAAATTCAACAGCAGATATTCAGTTGAATAGATTTTATCTCCAAACATCTAGACCTTCTATGATCACTTAAGCCAAAGCAAGCCCACAGCTTTAAGCCAATCAGATAAGCTCATTTGATCACCTGACCCACAAGTGCTTTATGCAAAATGTGGCTGGGTCCGAATGTCCGCCCTAACTACTATATAGGGACATATATAGTGGTTAGGCCATTTTAGATGTGTGTCCGAATGTCTAGTGGATGAAAAAGTATTGGACTCGAGATTTTCCACAGCCGACCATGAAAAGTAGTGATCATCCATGGTCACTAGACGAGCAGATATATCTCGGATTGCTGTGTGAGGAGAGCTCTCCTCCCAAAGCATCATGGGATTTGTTTTCACAGCGGCCCCGCTGTCGCCTATGGCTGCAACAAAGTTGGTGCAGGCATTTGCAGGGAAGCAGAGTTATGTGACCAACAGGAAGCGAAAAGTAGTGATCATCTGTCCGAACGGTCAGTTAACTGAGTTCACTATAAAGTGCACCATATAGCTATATGGTCCCCATTCTATATAGTGATTGAGGGATTTAGGGGTTAGAGCGGACGTTTGGACACCCATCGTACTTTTGAACCGATACGCTTCAGTCGACATGGAAATACAGTGTTTTAATTTTTGCTGAAGTCTGTTTCATATCTTTTAGGAACCCAGCCTTGGTCAAGGGGATTTTTTAATTTTCTTTTTATTCCTTTATTTAACCAGGAAAAGTCCAATTGAGATTAACAATCTCTTTTTCAAGGGAGTCCTGGCCAAGACAGCAGCAAAAGATTACATTACAAATTACATTACAATTTACAATTACATCTATCTATAATAAGAAATTCATAAAACAGTTACAAACCATAGATAGGATTATTATAGCTGAAATAATTACTGTCAGGTTTAAATAAACATTAGAAACTAAAGTTCATAATTGCAGGCAACAAAATGTCATTGTTTAAAAAAAAAAAATGACTCCAATGAGACTATATTTCTTTCATAGGAAATTGCCTTAGACCAAAGGTTATAATATGGTGTTTAATATCATGGTGAAGAATTCATTTAACAATTATCACGTCACCATTTTTTTATATTATATTATCATTTTTATCTATTCTGAGAAATAGCAACAGGATATTCCTCACTTTTTCTTCCAAACTGCTTACTGTTATGAGCCAGGTTTAAAAAATATTAGAATCAACTTTTTAGAAAAATCTTTTGAACCTTTTTAGTTGATGAATAATTTCATAAACTACAAAAATCAAACTTGGTTACTTAAAGTATAATTTTTTGCATTGTAGCTTATTTTTCCTTTTTAAAAAAGGTAGTAAAATAAAACTTCTGTAATTAGTGGGGGGTTTTTTAGCCGATCTGTGAGCAACACTTGGTCTAAAGCCCTACTTTGATTACCCGTGGTTTAAATGGAGCTGCTGATCAGGACATAAGTCAAAGGTACTTTTGTTTCTTCATTTTAGAGTAACTTGACCTTTACCTTTGCTCTTCGGCTGTAATCATATTTAACACCTCTGTTTCTCGCCATCTCTCCATTGTTGTGGGAATCCTCCTGATACGGGAATATATTAAAACCAATCCATCAGTCTGTCAGTGGAAACCAAGCACCGCCTCAGTGCTCCGACGTTCCTCTTTGATGAAGTGCAGCCACATCGTCTCATCGTCTTTCTGATGAGGCAATTCGCTCCCATTATGACTCCTCTCTGGCACTTGGATTGAAGCCTCCAAATCACCCCCCCCTTTAGCGTCACCTCCAAAGAGTGGGACTGAAATTAGTTTTCATCTGCGTGATTCTCTTCTTCAAAACTATTATTTAGCTCATCATTAGAATATTCAATGTGTCATCTGTAGAACTTTCCCCTGGCCATTAGAGAAGTTGCTGTTGTCTGTCTCTGCGTGTTTTCATCACCAGCTTGACTCATTCTTGCGTATGCAATAAATGTGACTGTCCTCCCATTTGTTTTTTTTATTTGTCTACTTTGGTGTGTTGGCTTATGCGCCCACGCTTTTCTGTCTGTGTGCGTCTGATTTTATTTATTTATTTATTTTTCTCTGTGCATCTGTTGTTCCCACGCTGACTCTCCGCCACACACACCTCGCAGCCCACAGAGTTTTGTCAATATCCTTGGCTAGACTCCCCAACTGCAAGCTCAGTCCTCTGCGCTTATCTCCTGGCTCCACACACACCGCTTCACTGTAAAACGGCAATCCTGTTTGCATGGTGGACCTTAATGTGTCACTGTCTAAACACTGAATGTGGACGTCCCACAGCTTAATTCAAGACGACGCAGGTGGATCTGAGCTTCTTTAACAGTTCATTTTGATGTCATGAGCTGAGAGTTCGGTTGGCCGACTGATCCTCAGCCCACTCATGTCAGTGGATGGTTTATACCCACTGATGTGGTGTGGAGTCAGAGAAAAGAAAGCGTGAACGTAGGAGCGACTCAGAGGAGAGAATATCTTTACGGTTGTTTTAACCATTTACTCAACAGAAAAAGGTTTTTCTGTGATACATTAAGGTTTTCTGAGGTAAACGTGTTAGATAAAAGGAAGAAATGTGGGATCTAGAAGCTACAGTTCTGAGATAATGCAGCCTAACTTAAAAATGCAAACAGGGTGAATTAATTCCACTTTTGTGTTTTTCCTTAAACATTCAAATGAAAACCAAAGAGTCCTCACTAAGGTCAACCCGGGATTGTCACAAAGCTCAAGTTTTCAGTATGGGGAGTCACATTTTAGTTTTTCCAGTTCAGAGGAGACTAGAGTGTCAACTTCTATACATTTACATCAGCCAGTTGAAGCTCAGGAGAAAGTAGTGATGCTGTGGGATATGGAGGCATCACAGCTTCCAGGTCAGAAGCATCCAGAGAACCTCTGGCCTACAGACTCAAACTCTGAGCTGCAGGTTGGCAGCTAATATGACCGCAGCAGATAATATCAGGCGGGAAAACATGGCTTGATACGCCTCTGGTACAGATAGAATAACCAGTTATTAGTTCATGAAATATCAATTAGTACACAATAAATATGAGAGACGTACGTATGGCTGCTGGGAGCTGCTCACAGTAGATATTAACTGAACAAGCAAGTGACTCTTTAAATGAGGGAACAAAATAAAAAA